TGAATTTCTTTTACTTTGTCTTGTTGCGTAACTGTTGGGTTTACTGTTCGTGCCTTTCTCTCTTCCTTATTTAAGTTCTAAGCAAACTATATTTCTTGTAAAATACTGTGTAATACTGTTTAAAAGAATTCTTGATGAATCTATTCTTAAATACTTCTTTAATTATTATAAATTACTTTTTTAATTCTTTCTTTGAAAATTAATCTTTTTAAAAGCAATTTTACTTAGACATACTAGTCAAATATAAATTTAATTACAATATATAAGTAATTTGTAAAATTTTATATACTAAATACTTTAAAGATCTATTGTATTAAATTAATTTATTTTGTTTATAAACTCTTTATAAATTTTGTTATATTTTTTTGATACCTATTAATTAACATATATATATTTGCATAACTTGTTTTGATATTTAATTAAAAATATTTTGTAAAATTAAAATGCTCATTTGTTTGATTCTTGAAAGTCATTAATTAATGTCTTTCTAGATTTTATAGACTTTGAGTTTTTTCTAATTTATTGATAAAAACTATTATTTATAAAGTATTTTTTAATACCTAGAAAAATATAAACTAATATTGATCTAATTAAAAGTTTGAAAAGTTAATATTAAACTTTTTTAAGTTTATTATAGATTAATTTATTAATATATTTCTTTTTTCTTGTAAAAATAAAGTTAAAAAGTGATATTATTTTTAAAGTTTTTTTTTGATTAATAGAAAAGACTTTTGATGTATAATTGAATATTATAATTTACTGTTGATTGTAAGTTTGAAATAATATAATATTTTTTGAACTAGGTTTTTTTTTCAAAAAAATTATCAAAAAAAAATTTTTTTTTTTTTAAAAAAAAGAGAATCCACAAAAAGAGTTATTCTTAAGACATTAATGATACAATCAATCAAAAATTATAAAATTTATATATATTATTTCTTAAGATTTATTATTCTATTTCTAATATATCTTTATAAAAAATTTTTTTTATAAGTAGCTTTTAAAACTTTATCATCATTAAAAAAATCATTTCTTTATTGATTATTATTTGATTTACGGTAAAAAACAATCAAAAGTATTTGAAAGCAAAAATCCAATAAAGAAAGAAATTTTTCATCAAAAATAAAACTTTAAAAACATAATATGTGAATTAAAACTTTTGAAAACAATTGTATATAATATTATGTTTTTTTTTGTTAAAATTGTTAATCCAATTTTTTTAAAAAGAAAAAAAAAACTTGATATATAGTAAAAATTTTTTAAAAAAACATAATGCGTGCATTTATAGAGAATGCATTTAAAGAGGTTTCTCAGCATTCAGTGTGTATCATGTTCACGCGATCATACAAGTCACATGATTATGTGAAAATCAGGATGACGAGGCGAGGAAATTTGGGATAAAACGTTCCGAAGAATTAATCACATCATTAAAACGAATGCAAGTATTCTCACCGTTCTTTTATACATATCAGATAAAGAAAAAAATTTTTAGACCAATCATTTCCAGATTTGCTGCGGAAAATACGCAAATATTTACAGTCTCCGTTCGATCAACTTTATAATTAAGGTATCAGTAAAGAAACTTTTGCTATAAATTAAAGTCACTCCGAAAGTCACAGAAATTCCCTAGACCGATAACGGATTGGGATTTCTTTACCTTATCACAAAATTTGTACTTCTAAATAATCAAGATTCAACACCAACAGTCAGCATTTTAACAAGATTCAATTGATAGTTCGGAGTATCAATCTCCGAAATGGAGCTAGAAAGTATGCCACTGCAAAAGGACGATTCTGCGCAGGCGAAGACACCGCTGAAGCATGTACCAGTGAAGAAAAATGTAACACGTCGTACTCCAGCAAATAAGTTGACCACGCTTGCCACAAGTGACTCGGTGCACTTAACCGGAGATGCGCGAGTGAGCAAAGAAAGAGAATTGAACGAGGTGCATAAAAATAGTAAATTAGATAATACTCAAGTAAAAGCAATCGAAAGAACAGTATCAACCACGGCGAACATAAATAAGGAAGAGAGAAAGGCACGAACAGTAAACCCAACAGTTACGCAACAAGACAAAGTAAAAGAAATTCAACAGAATGCGGGGGAGAAATCGATTAATTCGAATGCGGTCAGGGTCGTTGCATACGCACCAATAAGATTAGCGGAAGTTGATGAGACCACCACAGAAGAAGATATTGAGAATTGTGTCGGTCAAAAGGCAAACGCTAACGACATAAGTTTCGTCGTGTGCACGTGGAATGGATGCAACAAATATTTCACCAAGATGGAAAAATTCACTCAACATCGTAAACGTGATCATGATACAACGGAGGTTGAAAAGGACATCTGGATATTCGGTAATGTAAATAAGGGAGGAGAGGCATCAGCTAATACAGTTTCTTCTAAAGCGACAGAGGGTGAGAGTTCGACATCCATATCCAAGATGGCATCGTCACCAGTCAAGACCACGGCATCATTACCCGTTAATCCTTCATCGCCAACAATGAAAGTAGATGGACCATCAATTCTAACGTCGACAACCCCTGCAACCATAGGATTATCGAGTAAACCACGAAAACTCACAAGGGATCAACTAGATGTGCCAAATCCGATGGACAATAATAACAACTCATTACCAGTGAAACGAAATCGTGATTTGATTGCTGTCGAAAAGGAGACGAATGGTAAAAGAAGGGAAACACAACCATCACCGCAATTTCCTGGTGGGCACAATAATAATGGGAATGGCAACAATAACGAAATGCGCCAAGCGCAAAGACCACCAAGACGATTTCCAATGGAGGAAGAACAAATGACTGGGCCTGACACACGAATAAGATATCCAAGGGGAAATCGTGGACAGAATGCTAATCCATTGTACGGAATACCTTATGACACAGGTGATCCTCGATACTATAACATGCAGATGCACCCAATGAGCTTTGTCTATAGTGAAATGCCACCTCCGATGCCTCCACGTTATGATGGTAATTATGGCGATATGCCGCCGTATGGACAGTTTTATGGTAATGGAAATCGTAGGTTTCTGACTAGTCCGCCGCCGCCACAGCCACCTCCACCATCGCGACGTTCGAGATAAGGGATGTGGGAAAGATTATTTGGATAAATATATTTTTATTGGTCGGCATGGTATAATACGCCCATGAGGATAACCCATTTTTTTTCTTTTTTGGTGCTTCTCGAAGTAATATCACCAAATGTCTATGCTTGCAATATAAAAGCATATATATTATATGGTAGATATAGCAAGCCCCCGTAGAATAATCTCCGTTTTCTTTTTCGCCATAATGCAGAATCTTATCACATATCTACTACATTAGTGGCTCGGAATTTTACGTATTGATAGATATTGTTTTATGAGAACGAGATATTCTATTAAATCCTCGACATCTTGTATAAATTACGTGTTACTATTTGGGTCAATATATTAAGGCACCAAAAAATCACTGCGCATGAAATTGGGTGGATGAAAAAAGGGGAGCATGGGGCGAATTTATTTTTTTTTTTTTTTGGAATCACTATTCTCAAGAACACTAAAAACACCATCAGACAAATTACTTTGTCGTTATTTATTGGCATCAGAATCCGAAAATACATTCTATTTATTAATTTTTCTTGGTTTTAATTTGTATAATCGTTGATCTTTCCGAAAACACTTTTATCATCCCACATCATCAATTGCAACGGGGCTGACGTTAGAGGGAGGAAGGATCCCATCACGAAGGTTATAATAGACCACCGTCGAGTCAGGGAACGTGATGGCGAGAGTGATACTGTATATACAAACATTTTTTTTTTTTTTTTCAAAAAAAAAAAAAAAAAAGAAAAAAAGAAAATGTAGAATTAATAAATATCATTACACTTCAATGTATGTTATGCAAGATATTCAAAGAGATCTTCAAAGGGAGGTGGTCAAAATATTTAATTGAAACCTATTGATATTCCTTAATAAGGTACTATCATCATCATCTTCAGGAGTGTTGGGAGCGAAGTATTTTTTCAATGACGAAAATAATTGAGATACTCTTATTTTTTTTTGTAATTAATTATAGTATTAGGAACAGTGTCGAGGAGGCAAAGAGCAGAGGGTCATTTATTATGATAAACATAGAAAACTTGACTTTACTTTTCAATAGACCAAATCTCAGAAGAAGCACCAGGAATCACGACTATTTGAGGAGATGACTTCATCATTCATTCATTCATTCAAAAAAAAAAAATTAATAATAATAATAAATAAAAAGAGGTGGGAGGGAGATATCAGATGTTCGCTCAAGTCATCAAAATGGAATTCCCGTGATTTGATCAAAATCGTCCTTACTTTGGCAGGCTTCCCCAACAGCACACACCTTTTCAAGGGCTCCACATCCTTGACTTTTACCTCGAACCACGATTTTGCTGGAATGCAAATTGGAATTCATGAGATTTAAGTTCGATTTTTTTTTCCCGCAGCAATTCACCGTACCTAACGTGAGGTCGATATATACTTGCGAGAGGCAAAATGCTTCGCGAGGATATTTAACACAATAAGAAGAAACTTTGTCTGGCTTTATTTCATTGATTGTTGTATAAATTCAGACATTGTATGCGTTGTAAATTCTTTCAACTGAACGCGTCGTCTAGAAAAGACACGGCAAAATTTTTTGCCTAATTCAAAAACTTACAAGTACGGAATTCATTATTGATTAAATGGAAAACTTTTTCCTTCGTTTATTTAGCATTAACAATGTGGTCTGAATAAGTTTTCATAATACATTAGCTAGGAAACGAGATCGTAGAGTTTTTATGAACACCAGTATATCTGACCAGTTTTAGTAATTTGATGATGTTTGACGGATCACTTATATCACGTGATATGTTTTTGATAAGTTGTAACAATAAAAAATTTTGATCTCTCTCTTTTTTTAATACCTACAAAAAGTTCCTCGGAAGACGATGAAATTCTCAAAAGGTATATGCTGTTTATTTTATCTGTCAAATTTTCTTGCCACGGGTGGAATGGTACGTCCACCTAGGTGAAATACCTCCTTTTGCTTAGCGCAAGATCCTTTTGACATTTTTGACATTTCGATCCGTAAAATGAAAATGTAGATGTAAGCTCTTCTCGGCGCAAAAGTCGAAAGGCGCATTTCTCTGCACCATCCTCGGTTCGAAGAAAAATCATGAGCGCTTCATTGTCCAAGGATTGTAGGGAGAAATACAATGTAAGTTGTATCTTTTATTTCTTTCCTATCAGGTTTCACCAAAAGTCTTAAGGCACGTTTTACGTCTGATTAGGTTCGATCTGTTCCCATCAGAAAAGATGATGAAGTTCGCATTGTGCGTGGAACAAACAAGGGCCGTGAAGGAAAAGTTACTCAAGTTTATCGTAAGAGATGGGTCATTTATGTCGAGCGTCTTAGTAGAGAAAAAGTTAATGGTTCCACCGTCCCGATTGGCATTCATCCTTCGAATGTCGTTATTACCAAACTAAAATTGAACAAGGACCGAAAAGATCTGTTAGAACGAAAGGCTAGGGCTTCCTCGAAGAATAAGGGTAAAGCGGTCGAAGTTGATGAGTCTTAATTGATTTTGTGATATGTATTCTGTATTCATATGCCATTTGAATACGAACTACACCATCCCAATATGCCAACAAAGAATATCACCATTAGTATCCTCAAGTGTTCAGAATAAATGTTGAATATGATATTATCATTTATATGAGGAAGAAAGAAAAAAATTTTAATAAAAACTCACGATAATATAAAACTCTATGTCATATGTATTTGCGCGAGCAATTCTTTTTCGTGCCGATCTTTCATCTTTGTGACACATGCGGAGGCGTAGGGTAGATTGGTTTTATCTGTACCGATTCGTAACGTCCGTTCACATTACCCACAATGACTGTGGGAAAGATTTCGTTCCTATCTCCGCAGAATAGAGAAGTCACCGAATTAGGGTTGCGTTTAAAGGAGGCTAGTGAAAATGTCAGCACAAATCAATCGGGGCTGCAAGTTTCGGCAAAGAGGCCGATAATCAAGAAAGTACTTGAAGCAATGGCCTCCGGGATTGATGTTTCGCCGTTATTCGGTGACGTTGTCAAGGTTGGAGCAATCTTGGTTTAAAAAAATCGCGTTCGATAAAGTATTTATATGCTTGCTTGCTTCTTCGCTTGAGGAAGGCAGCTTCGACAAAAGACCTGGCGCAGAAAAAGTTGGCGTATATGTACATAGCAACGCAAGCTGAACGTAATGCAGAGTTGGTAATCTTGGCTGTTAACACTTTTCAAAAAGATTTGCAAGACGAAAATCCGTTGGTTCGAGGCCTGGCATTACGCACTTTATGTTCCATGAGGTGCCGATACATTCTATCACTCTGTTATACTTTATTCTCATGAATAATCAAGGAGTTCAGTATTTAAAACTTGATACGCGTTTTTCCCTAAAGGCTTGCCGATTATGTAAAATACATGCTGGAGTCATTGAGTCGGGCTTTAGGAGACTCGAGTCCTTACGTACGTAAGACTGCTTTAACCTCACTCATCAAAGTGTTTCACCTTTCTCCCGAACACGTGATGGGTAAGTGACTATCTTAGAAAAGGAATTGACCGAGGATGATGAACTTGACAGTAACGAAAATTTCATTCGATCATGATCATAGATACCTCCTTGATCGATCAAGTATATAATACTCTTCGTGACCGTGATTCGGAAGTTGTGGCGAATGGGATTGCAGCTTTGAATGAGATATTACGCTTTCAGGGTGGAATGACTATCAATAGGAAAGTCGTGCACTATTTGCTACAAAGATTCCGGGAATTTAATGAATGGCATCAATGCCAGGTCTTGAATATACTTTGTGTATATAAGCCGGAATCGGAGGATGAAATTTTCGACATAATGGTGTGTTGCTTCCTAAGGAGTGATAGTCTTGTCTTCTAGGTATTCTAACATATGTCCGATTAACACGCATTCAGAACCTTCTAGATGACAGCCTCAGACATCATAATAGTGGAGTGCAATTGGCAACCATGAAGCTGTTTATACAGTTGACTCTTGATTTGCCAGAAGTTCATGAAGCTTTGTACAAAAGAATTAAAGGTCTGTCTCTTTTGAGGGAAATTATCACCGATTTTTCTTGAGAAAGACACTAACATTTATTTATAGAACCTTTACTGACGTTACTGTCATTAAGCATTCCTGAAATTACATATTCGTGCCTGGAACATCTATATCTGTTGATACATCCCTCTGACAAATTGCTGCGGGAGGATTATAAGAAGTTTTATCGAAGGTAAATGTGAATTCCAATGTGGAAAATATCTTGAAGGATAAAAAAAACCAAGACCTTAAATTGCTGTAGAATTAAGGAACCGTCGTATGTGACAATGAAAAAGCTGGATTTACTCCAAAATATTGCCACAGAGACTAGCGCAAAAGAGATAATAGACGAAATAAGGTAATACTTGAGATAAGAAGACACGAATTGAAAAATCTACTCTGGTCCTCTCGTTGATGATGTGATTGATATTTCTAGTGGATATATTATAGGAGACGACGTAGGGGTTACGGCAAAATCAATACAGACGGTGGCAAAGATTGCTATGCGGATCAAAAATACGTTGACCTATTCGCTTGACATTTTCATGAAATTAATGGAAACAGGGATTGATGACATCGTGTCCGGTATTGTGACCGTCATTGAAGGTGCGAATTAATTCAAGACGAGGACGAAACACCGATTAACGTTGTCACTGATCAACGCATTTTCTTTTTCTTTTCTTTTTTTTTTTTTTTTTTTTAAAAAAAAAAAAGACTTATTGATTGAAGGTCCCAATGAATTTGGTGAATTGATCTCGTCGGCGCTTCCTTCGGTATGGTCCTCAATCAACCTGAAATCATCGGCAGGACCTGCGTTCTTAAATTTGCTGACAACTGTTGGAAGTTCATTGCCAGAATCTCCTTACATTCTAGAATCACTGATTGATGACATTAAAAACTATCCCAATACACCGTTCCGCGTGCAACTTTTAAACTCGACGGTATCATTGTTTTTGAAGAGGCCGGCGGAATGTCAAGGAATGCTGGCCAAACTATTCAAGAGTACCATGGGGTCCACGGAGCGTCTCGAAGTTCGCGAAAGGGCCGAATTCCTCTTTCGAATGTTGAAATATGATATTGGTGCTGTAAGTATCTTTTGTTTTATAAGGGAACCGTCGGATATCCATGCTGAAAATTTTTGGTTAATTGTTGGATTAAAAAAGGTCAAGAAAATCTTTTCATATGAACCTCCCGAAACGTTGAAAACTTTGGACAAAAATAATTCATATCAACAGGTGTGATGAGAATTACTTGTATTTAAGATGCTGCCCACGGTGTTCACATCTTCAACGTGTTTGCACTTAATCACGTAGATTCGACCTTTGCATGAATTCAACACGCTTTCAATAATACATGGAAAACCACAAGAACAAGTTATCGCCGAAAGTGCCGAGTTTTCTATTCAAAGGGAAAAAATGACATCGTATCATGATACCCTAGATTTTGATGAGGTAATTTATCGCATTTGGATTATCAGATTTTTTGTTAGCCCGACGATACTTACGCAAGCACGGTTTATAGGTGTTAATGGATTTTTCTGGTGAAAGCCTTATTAAGGTCGCAAAAGTCGACAACTATGAATTGTCCAGTACAATATCAATGAATGCTAAAACTTTTGAATTATGTTGGAACAAATTTACAAATAGGTATTTACGTCAACTTAAGTAATGTTAATTTCAGAGTGAAGGTTATTGATGCGAAACTTTCGACTAGAGTTGAAAAGGAGGTATCGATCGCAGAATTATCAACCTTGCTCATGGCGTCAGATATAATGCTGAAGAATGTCGAGTGTACTCTTGAGGAGAACAGCATAATGGTCATGGCATCAGGAGATACGAATGGTGCATTGAAACTTTTCCTGTATGCGCAAGAGGTGAGCATTCGACTTTTCAATCTCACATCATAAGGATTTCACCAATATCAGCTGATTGTGTTTGCCTTCAACACTAGGCGAATTCTCAGGAATTATCATTATGCGGATTAAAAATTAACGTCCAATCTGCGCAAGTTAATATATGTATTAAATCGGGATATTTGTCGCAAAACACGTCAACGGTTGACGTTGGAGATAGTCACGAAGTTGCCAAAATGGACGGGGTCTCACCGTTTTCGAACTTTTTATCAGAGCGTTTGATCTACTGTCTAAAGAACTTGGGAAATTTTGATCTAATTTAGATATTAAACAGATGGCGATATATGCGGTGGGATGATCTATAACTTGTGAGATGATTCGGTTTCTTGAATTACATATCTCATCAAACCTGAATTCTTGTTACAAATTTTTATCACCCGGTGATCAATTTTATAAGAAAATGTAACCCTGAACGAATATAACATTTATTTGTACAAATAGTATTTATTCGAAATAAAATTTGGAATTTTTTTAAAAAGCATAAACTTTATTTTTAAGACTATGTGTTGTTTAACAATTTAATAAGTTGCATGCATTTTTATGATTAGAATATTAAGCAATAATCTTTTCAAGAGCAAAAATTAGAAAAAAAATTTTTTTCTCCTTTAACTCGATAACAGAACAATAGAAAATTTTAAATAATGGACAGTAATAAGCTTCTTGAATAAAAAATTATTTTAAAATCCTTGCAATTAAATATAAAACAGTTATAAACTTTAGATCAATTATATATAATATACAGTATATTACTGTATACTATATATTTAAAACTCTATTGATTCTAATTATATGGATAATTATTTTTGAAAATAAATCAAAAATTGTTTGAACCTAAAATTTGTAACTTCAAAATTGTTGTTGATAAAATTCCATATGTTGGTCCAGGATTTTCCACTAGAGACAAATAGTATTAACTAATACTTGCAAGCAGTATATGATAACAAGCTTGCCTACACTAGTTTAGGATTTTCCACTGGAAGTACAAGACATTCTTGCTGCACTATTCTTGCCCTAGTACTAATACCAGTACAAGCTGCTAGTTCAGGATTTTTCTTTAAAGGTAATATCAATGCTATACCAATACTTGTAAGTACTTTCTTATATCAATGTAGGCCTACCTGCATTAGTTCAGAATTGTTTACTGAAAGTATATAGCATACTTTACCAATACAGTATATAAAGGATATATTGATTTAAAAATTTTCTCTATTTACCTTTTGCAGTAAGGAATCAATGATTTTTTATAACTTTTTAACTTTTGTTAACTTGATTCATGCTACTAAAATAGTGTTACAATCAATACTAGTAACAATAATTAATAGTAGAGTATTACAGCATTGATAAATGTTGTTTACTTGTTTATGATATAAACTAAAGGCTTGTAATTGATTACAGTTAGAGGTCAAAAAAACTGGAAAGCAAAGGTAAATATTACAATTAGTATTAATAGTAATAAAACAATAGCAATAATATACTGTATATAGTATTGTTAAAATATTGCTTGTCTATAGCTATAGAATGTAAAACTTGTGGTTGACTGTAATTAATAGATACTATAGCTGGGAATCAACAAAGTTAAAATTGACTGTTAAATAGATGTATAAAATATAAAATATAAAAAAACAAGTATTTATGTCAAGCAATAGCTATAACAAGTTGACAAAAATATAAGGATAGCTAGTTTATTGCTTATACTGGTTATCAAAAAAAAACTATTTAGTAGTAACAATAAAATTAATTGCAATTTTTTTTTATAAATCAATCATATCAATCGTATATCTCAAATTTTATATACAATAGATTTATATTCATATTTGTAATAAACATCTACCATATTATCAATTTTTAGCAATTACGATACTTGTATCAACCAATAATTATAATACTTCTACTTGTAATTTTAGTATTTATGATAACAATACCTGCTTTAAAAATTTCTTATTTTAACAATTGCTTGATTTATTTTTAAAATTGCTGATTTAAAAAATAAATCAATCAGGTTCATTTAGTATTATTAGTGAATTCCTTAATAAACCAAATCAACTAATCACTTTAGTTTTATAGATATAGATAGTTTTGCAAATATAGCAGATAGTTTTGTAAATAGATATTTTTATAGGTATAACATATAAAATAGATATGTCTCATAAGATCTACTACTTATTTTTTATTTATTTTCTTCATAACTTTGTGAATATATGATTGAATCAAATAATTTATATATAATAAGATAGATTTGATTTTGAGCTTTCGAATGGTATATGAGTTGTTATAGTAAAACTCTCTTTGTTCAATGGAAATGACTCAAAAAAGGTTAGATAAATAAGAGTCTCTTCTTTCTTGAATATTTTTTACTTTTATTATTGATCTTGTTATACTATTAATCGATGAGTTTATAACAAAAATGAAATTTTTTTTATGTGATGATAATATAGAATCTGAGCTTCTCAAAAATATGTGGTTTGTTGTGATGTGACTCTTTGTTTAATGGAAATGGTCTCATAAGATCAAAAAAATCAAGAATTTTATATTTTTTTGTATTTCCATGAAAGTTGCTCTATATTAAACTCTATCAATTTTGATCCAAAACAAAGTACAAAACCATCTTTTAAGAGACTAAAATAGATTTCATCTTTTGTATTAAGATATATATTGGTCAAAATCCATTATGTGTTGAGTTATTGAATCAAACATCTCAAATTTTCTGCTTGCCTATAATGATGCATACATAGGATCTATCCTATATTTACAAGTTTTGATCTAAATGAATCATATAAGGACTTGTTGGATAGCTCAAGACTGAAATTTTTTCTTTTACAAGTACAAGCATATGATTAGGATATGTTTTTACTGAAATATGTGGTTCAAGATAAAATTTTCACTTTCTTGTACATATGATCAAAAAGAATTCACCTATTATGAATATATTGTATCCATTTTTTGTGTGATGACTCATATATTTTGCATCTCCTTTAGATCATACATTATGTAGATTATTGTATATATGACTTTCATGTGATCTAAATACTTCTGTACCTTCATCAGGGTATAAGATTATTATTTATTATGTTTGAGGGTATTATATTTGTTAGATAAGATATTTTTTTTGTATCATTGGATTTTTTTTTTTAGAAATTCATTATTCTGTGCATGATATGTCATGAGTTTTCATGTGTTTCATGTGATCTAAATTGAAAGAACTATATGTTTGATATATTGATTATCAAGTTTATTAAGTCTAGATCTTCATATCTTGTATTCTGATCTACTATATATATTTCTTATCTCTTTTAGATTGTGTGTTGTAAGCATAATGGTATAAGAAAGTTTCATAGTGTTTAGACCATTGAAACTTGTTTGTCACAGCTCAGATTATAATGATTGATATAAGATATAATATAATCTGATAAAATATGCAAGGTAGTTTTCTTGAATAGTAAATTAATTAAAGTGATCGAACTACTATGAGGAAGCTTGAAAGCTTAACCTTCTTTTTATATATAGTTATCATAATAAGAAAATTTATTCCTACTAAAAAAAACTTTTTCCACTGATCCACTATTTTTCTAAAATTTCCTTTTTTGGTAATTGTTTAAAAAAAAAAGATAATACATTCCAAGCTTAGCAAACACAGTAAAGAGAAATACAATCACATCACCCCACTTGGAGCAACACATAAAGCTCTATAAACAAGCCATCAGGAAAAGAGTACATAATAATAACATTAGTACTTTATCCATCAACTTTTGAGGAAAAGGAAAAACAAAAATAAATCTGAATCATAGTAAGTCCAAGGAACCCAACATCAATTCTCCTAGCTTCCAATCAGGCCAATGCAGATTTACATCTTTCTAGACATTAGAAAGAATCTGGCAATATAGTAATCTCAACTGGTAAACCAGTCAAAACTCAAAAATTGCAAGACTCAAGAGGATGTCAGGAACCCAAGAGCAACAGTTAGAGATTATTAGTAACAACACATCAGCAACACATAAACAACTAGCACATAACATGAACACGAACACATCTCTTTAGACAATAGAGACATAATAACAGATTACATGATATGTCTCTAAACAAATAAACAAGCTCAACACGTGTTCTAGCTAATCACAAAACATGTTTCTCATATCTGGTTTACCCCTTAATAAAACCAGCACACGTGTTATTGAAATCAACAAATAAACAGATAAACAACCTGTAACTCATGTTTACCCCACAATTAATCTACTAGCACAACAAATATATTAGGAAACCCCAATAATACTATCTGAATAAGTAAACAAATAAACAAGAGTTAATCTACAAAGTGTGACTCATTCAATAATCATGTAACATAGTTAACATGGATAGGACACAACGCATTTTTCATATAGTAAACAAAAGGGAGAAAGATATCCTGAATACTTTAATTAAGCTTTCAAGAAAGTACGATGAAACCTCAGAACTATAGGCATCCCAACAATTGGTAAGACAAAAAAAAGGAGACTCAAAAGAAGAAATAACACCCGTCCAGAGACTTTTACTATCCTAGATAGTATTATTGCTAACATCCTAGGAATAGACAAAACAATATACCATAAGGAACAGATCTTTACTCAACATATCCTATACCTCTGGCAACAAGGAAAGGGAAAAGAAGAAGATCTTTTACAGTCTTATATAGAAGATAAATTTATAGAAATTATCAAAAATGCAAGTAATCCACAGAAGTCAAAAAGTCAACTGATGGAGATCACAGAATATGTAGATTCTGAGTCAATAATAGACAATAAAATCACAATAATCAGTGATCACAAACAAGAAGAGGCCAAAATACAAAGGTTTCAAGAGAAAATAAAAGGCAACAACATCAGTGATTATAGCTTATATGACATGAGAAACAGGAACTTTGTCCCATCGACAAACCCATATTTTATGGAAAAAGAAGGAATATATAGACTTGGTGTCATGACAGCCAATATTCCAGGAGAAACAGAAGAAGAAGTCAAGACCTACCTAAGCTATATCTTGAAACTATCACAGAGAACAAGACACCTCTTAAAGAAAAAATTTATCAATGGAAACAAATGGTTGACCTTTTGGATACAAAAAGAAGAGGATGTCCTAAAATATATAGAAGAGATAAACTGCAAAGAGAATAATTTCACTATCCAACAAATAACTCCTCATACTCCACGTTCTACCCACATGACCAAAAGAGAGAAAAACAAAAAAATCTTTTGGGAATTTAAAAAGGAAAATAGATCTAATATATGGCATA